CAATCTTCAGCTGAAGGAACAAACTGGAGGCATTACGCTACATGACTTCAAAATATACTACAAGGCAAGAGTAACCAAGACAGGATGATGGCATTCCTATCAAACTATGACATTCTTTACATAATTAGAAAAACTATTTTCAAATTCATATGGAATCAGAAAAGAGCTCGAGTAGCCAACGTAATCATAAACAAAAAGAATAAAGCTGGGGGTATCATGTTAATTGACTTCAAACTATATAACAAGGCTGTGGTAACCAAAACAGGATGGTATGTATACAAAGACAGACACATAGAGCAATGGATCAGAATAGAGAGCCAATAAATAATACTGTGCATGTGCAACTATCTAGTCTTCAGTGAGGCTGACAAAAACAAGTAGTGATGAAGGACTCCCTATTCAATAAATGGTGCTGTAATAACCTGGCTAGCCATGTGCAGAAGATTGAAACTGGACCCCTTTCTTACACCATATAAAAAGTCAACTTAAGATGGATTAAAGACTTAAATTTAAGACCCCAAACTATAAAAACCCTGAAAGATAACCTAGATACCATTCTGGATGTAGGACCCGGCAAAGATTTCATGATGAATATGCCAAAAGCAATGGCAACAACAAAGAAAATTGACAAATGGTGCCTAATTAAGCAGAAGAGCTTCTGCATGGCAAAAGCAACTACCAGCAGAGTAAACAGACACCCTACAAAATAGCAGAAAATATTTGCAAACTATGCATCCCACAAAGATCTAATATCTAGAATCTGTATGGAAGTTAAATCAACAAGCAAAAAATGACCCACCCCATTAAAAAGTGAGCAAAGTACATGAACACACACTTTTTGGAAGAAGCCATACATGTGTCCAACAAGCAGGTGAAAAAATGCTCAACATCACTAACCATTAGAGAAATGCAAATCAAAATCACAATATGATACCATCTCACACCAGTCAGAATGGGAATTATTAAAAAAAAAATAACAGATGCTGGCAAGGTTGCAGAGAAAGGGAACCTTATACATTGCTGGTGGGAATGTAAATTAGTTTGGCCACTGTGGAAAGCAGTTTAGCAATTTCTCAAAGAACTCAGAGCAGAGTTACCATTTGACCCAGCAATGGAACACTCTGCAGCTATGAAAAAGAACAAGATCATGTTTTTGGCAGCAACATGGATGGAGCTTGAGGCCATTATCTTAAGTGAACTAACACTGAAACACAAAACCAAGTACTACTGCATGTTCTCACTTTTTAGTTGGAGCTAAACATTGTGTACATATGAACATAAAGAAGGGAACAACAGACACCAGGGCCTACTAGGGGGTGGAGGAAGGGAGGAGGGTGAAGTTAGAGAAAACACCTATCAAGTATTATGCTTATTACCTGGGTGGTGAAATAATCTGTACCCCAAACCTCTGTGACACGCAATTTACCTACGTAACAAACCTGCACACGTACCTCTAATATAACCTAAAATAAAAGTTAAGAAAAATGATATGAAACAATAATTTATTGTACATTTTACAGTAACTAAGACAGTGTAATTGCAAAGTTTGTGACAAAAAGAAATAACTCCTTGAGGTGATGGATGTCCCTCTTACCCTAATGTCATTATTATACAATGTATGCCTGTATCAGAATATCTCATGTACCCCATACATAAACACACTTACTATGTACCCATAAACATTAAAAGGTAAAAATTGGCCAGGTGCGGTGGCTCAAAATGTAATCCCAGCACTTTGGGAGTCTGAGGTGGGTGAATTGCTTGAGTTCATGAGTTCGAGACCAGCCTGGCCAACACTGCAAAACCCTATCTCTAATAAAAATACAAAAAGCTAGCTGGGCATGGTGGTGTGTAGTTCCAGCTACTAGGGAGGCTAAGGTGGGAGAATCACCTGAGCTCAGGAGGTAAAGGCTGCAGTGAGCTGAGACTGCACCACTGTATTCCAGCTTGGGCAACAGAACAAGACTCTGTCTCAAAAACAAACAAAATTAAAAATTTAAAAAGACACATAAACTAATGAAACAGAATAAAGAACCCAGAAATAAATACATGCATATATAGCCATCTGATTTTTGGCAAAAGTGCCAAGAATACACATTAGGGAGATAATAGTTTCTTTAATAAATGATGCTGGGGAAAAGTTTCATTAAGGAGAATGAAATTAGACCCCATCTGTCACCGCTTAAAAAAATCAAATCAAAATGGATTAAAGATTTAAATGTAAGTCCTCAAACTGTGAGACTACTAGAAGAGAACATGGAGGTGACACTTTATTACATTTCTCTGGGGAAGGTTTTTGTTTGTTTGTTTTGGAAAAGACCTCAAAAGCACAGGCAACAAAAGCAAAAATAGAGAAATGGGATTACATCAAAATAAAAGCTGCTGTGCAGCAAAGGAAATAATCAGCAGAGCAAAGAGACAACCTATAGAATGGGAGAAAATATCTGCAAACTATGCATCTGACAAGGGATTAATATCCCTTATGTTAGGAACCCAAACAACTCAATAGCAAAAAAACCCACAAATATAAAGAGTAGACAAAAGATCTGAATAGACATTTCTCAAAAGAAGACATAACAATGGCCCACTGATATAAGAAGAAAAAACTCAGCGTCCCTGATCACTAGGAAAATGCACATCAAAATCATGATGCGTTATCACTTCACGCTAGTTAGAATGGCTGTTATGAAAAAGACAAAAAATAACAAAACTGGCGAGGTTATGGAGAAAGAGGATCTTCTATCCACCGTTGATGGAAATGCACATTAATACAGCTGTTTGTGGACAACAGTATGGAAGTTTCTCAAAAAATTAAAAATAGAATGAAAATATGATCCAATAATCTCACGACTAGATATTTATCCAAAGGAATTGAAATTCGTATTTTGGAGATATATCTGTACTCTTTTTATTGCAGCACTATGCACAGTAGCCAAGATATGGAATCAGTCTAAGTCTTATCAAGAGATGAATGGATAAATATATGTGATATATTTTTGGAATGTATTTTGTACATAAAAAATAACGAAATCCTGTCATTTGGGACACAACATGGACAAACCTAGAGGACATTATATTATGTGAAATAAGTCAATCGCAGAACAAATACTGCATGATCTCACTTATATGTAGAATCTAAAAAGACTGATCTCATAGAAGTTGAGAGTAGAAATGTGGTTATAAGATCTCACAGAAGTTGAATGTAGAATTGTGGTTATGAGAATTGTGGTTATGAGAGGCTGTGGAGGATTTTGAAAGGCTTGGGAGGGTATGGGGTGGGCGGAATGGGGAGAGATTGGTCATCAATTTATACAAAGTTCCAGTTCGATAGGAATCACACTTTCTGGTGCTCTATTGCTTATTTCTAAAACTAGAAAACTACCATGAATGACAAAATCTTAAAAGTAGTGTTAGGAAATGTCACAGAAAACCTAACACCCAAACTTCCTTTGTTTCATAGAGTCCTTTTTTTCCAAGTTAGTGTTTTAAAGGATTATCATATTTTGACTTTAATTTTATAATTAATATACAGTAAAATTTACTCTTCAACTCATTTTTTTTTCCATGAATGTAAAAACTAGCTAGCACATGGTTGAAAAATGCATTGGGAATGTAATCTGATTATTTAGCCTCTAATTTTTCACTGTTTGACTCTTCATTATATATATGTATTCTACTATTCCTCTGTTCTTATGAACTCTTCTGAAAAACTGAAGACATTTTAGACTTTTACCTCTTTAAACTTAACTAGAGTTGAAATATATGTAACATATTTATATATAATATTTATGAAATAATTATTTAAACTATATGCAAATATAATTTTTATTATTTAAATATTAAGTCACTTTATTAAGTTACCCTGGTGCATAAATTTTATAATAATTTATTTTGAAGGATGTTCCAAGAAATACCATTATGTAAAACCATGCTATATCTGTATTAGACATTGTCAATTTTATTTGGCAAACAAGGTTTTGTGAACTTGAAAAATTTTGAAAATACTTATGATTTTCTCCCACCACTATAGTTAACTATATTTTTATGTATTAAACATAAGAGTACCTGAGTATGAATGCTCATATGTTCTTTCACTTTTTAAAAATGTGTTTATGTGAATTCAAAGTTTGAGCTCCTGAATTTAATCTATATTAGTCAATTTTGTTTGGATTAATTAGGGAAACCTTTTTTTTCCCATTATTTACTGGAGGAGATCTGTTTTTAAAAATACAGATTGGCCAGGCGCGGTGACTCAAGCCTGTAATCCCAGCACTTTGGGAGGCCGAGACGGGCGGATCACAAGGTCAGGAAATCGAGACCATCCTGGCTAACACGGTGAAACTCCGTCTCTACTAAAAAATACAAAAAACTAGCCGGGCGTGGTGGCGGGCGCCTGTAGTCCCAGCTACTCCAGAGGCTGAGGCAGGAGAATAGGCGTAAACCCGGGAGGCGGAGCTTGCAGTGAGCAGAGATCCGGCCACTGCACTCCAGCCTGGGTGACAGAGCAAGACTCCGTCTCACAAAAAAAAAATACAGATTAATTGGTGGAGAAACTGGAGAAAATATGTTAATTTCAAAAAAAAAAATCACAAGTGTGAAAATAATGTGGATTTATGAATTCCCTGAATTTTCTTCTACCTAAAAATATCTTTGTATCTTATTTCAGACTTTCACTACTTCTTCTCTTTATTAAGGCAGGATACATATCCTAAGGCTCATAATTATATTTCATCTGCCTTTTAACATTCCTTATATGCCTATCATGTATGTTTTTCTTTTTCTTCACTATTTCATCTCTCACTTTTTCTCATAAATAAAGCTTTCTACAATTAATTCAGATTTCACACACATCTTTCGAAGATGTGTTTTTGAAATTTCAAATAATGGTATAGTTTTAAGTATGTTTTGATGTAGAATATAAATACTTTTTTGCTTGTAGTAAAACATGAGGCTTTTGAATTGCATTGTTTAATAGTAAATGAGTTTTTGTGTTTCTGCAGATGTGACTCTGAAAATCGCTATGTTGGTAATCCACTTAGAGGAACATGTTATTGTAAGTATTTGTATATTCTTCATTTTAAATAATTGGTACATACTATTAGTTTCAAATAATAAAGGTCATCTTAAATAACTAAAATTGTCATTAATATCTTGCAATTTCTGTTTCTTAAATTTTATAATATAACTTCATGTATATTGCTAAGAAATATATTATCTTAATTATATTTGGTGCATTTTTTTCTACTCTGAACAGTGAAATAGCAATAGATTTTATTCTCAACATAGAACAAAGTATAGAACTTGAGTAAACTCATGTGATTTTAATGTAATCTTTTTCATTATGATGGATTTTTGAAGAACTTGAATTTTATAATAGATATTTTGCAGAATTTTGGGCATTACTAAAAGGCTGCACTGATTTTGTACCAACAGATACTTTCATTGGGTACTGATTATATGATAGATATACATTTAACTTTTGTTTTGTTTTCTGAGACGGAGTCTTGCTCTTGTGGCCCAGGCTGGAGTGCAATGGCACGATCTCAGCTCACTGCAATCTCTGCCTCTCAGGTTCAAGTGATTCTCCTGCTTTAGCCTCCCGAGTAGCTGGCATTAAATGAGCCTGCCACCACGGCCAGCTAAATTTTGTATTTTTAGTAGAGATGGGGTTTTGCCATGTTGGTCAGGCTGGTCTCGAACTCCTGACCTCATGATCTGCCTGCCTCGGCCTCCCAAAGTGTTGGGATTACAGATGCGAGCCACTGCGCCCAGCCTATCTTTAACTTTTAAAGAAACAGCCAAATGCTGTTTCCCAAATGGTTGTACCATTTTACATTCCCATCAGCAGTGTATGAGAGTTTCAGTTCTTCCACATTTCACAGCCTTTTTCAGAGTTAGTCCAAGTTTTAGCCATTCTAATAGGTGTGGAATGGTATCTAACTCTCATTTTAATTTGCATTTTCCTAATTACTAATGATGTTCAGCATCTTTTCATAGGATTGTTTGCCATCTGTATATTTTATTAGATGAAGGGTCTGTTGAAATCCATTGCCCACTTTTTAGATTGTTTTTATATTAATGAATTTTCCACATACTTCATTCTAGTTACAAGTCCTTTATCGGATATATGACTTGCAAATATTTTTTACTAGTGGTAACTTGTCTTTTTACCCTATTAACACTGTTTTCTTGAAGAACAGATTTTAATTTAGATGAAGCTTGACTTATCAGTTTGTTCTTTTGTGAAATCTTAGCCTAACAGGTGACTATGATTTTCCCAAGGTTTTGGTAGAAATATTACATTTTTAAGTTTTCTATTTAAGTATATGGTCCATTTTGAATTAATATTTGTATATATAGTAGGTGATGGATTGAAGTTCTTTTTCTCCACGTAAATATTTAAATATTCAAGCACACTTTATATAAAGACTATACTTTAACCAATGAATTCCTATGCATCTTTGCTGAAAAACACTTGTTTGTAAATATGCTGCATTAGCATAAAAATAAACAAATAGATTAATGAAACAGAAAAGAGTCCAGACACTGGACATTACAATTAATGTGATTTTATAAGTTTGGAAATTGGTTAGTATTTATTCTCCAACTTTGTTCTTCCTTTTCAAACTTGTTTTGACTACTCCTTTTTTTTTTTTTTTGCATTTGCAAGTGAATTTTAGAATCTGCCTTTCAGTTTTCAAAAAAATGCTATAATTTGTTTTGTGATTTTGTTTAACTTATGATGAATTTGGGGAGAATTGGCATGTTAACTGTAGTGAGTCTGGAATTATCATATTTTTCATTTTTTCTCAATTCTTTAATTTTTATTATTAGTATTTTATAATTATAACTACACATTTCACATTTTTGTCAGATTTATCCTTATGTATTTTAAATTTGTGATGCTATTGATAATGATAGCTTAAATATTTCATTTCTGATTGTTTCTGGCATTTATAATTGATTTTATATTGGTTTTACATCTTGTAGCTTTGCAAAAGTCACATTTTACTTCTACCATTTTTTGTTGATTCTCTCAGAATTTCTACACATACAATGTTTTCTGCAAATAATGGCAGTTGGATTTCTTCTTTTCCTATCTTGATGGTTTTATTTCTTTTTTCTGCCTTATTGCTATAGCTAGCACCTTTAATAATGTGTTTAAAAGATGTGAACATGCAAGTATTTATTCTTGTCTTGTTTCTGATCTAAGAGGGAAAGCATTCAGTCTTTTATCATTAAGTATCTTGCAGGTTTTTGCTAACTGTCTTTATCAGGTTAAGGAAATTGCCTTCTATTCCTACTTTGCTGTACATTTTTTATCAGAAAATGGTGTTTATGTCCAGTGCATTTCCTGCCTTAATTTATATGATTATCAGAAATTTCTATTTTACTTTGTTAGTATCGCGATTTTAGTATTTTTAGTTTAGTTAATGGTATATATTGTGTGAATATACTATCTTTTTTGTCCATACGTAAGTTCATGGACTTTGGGATTTTTTCTAGGTTTTGTCTATTAAGAAAAATGCTGCAGTGAATGAACATTCATAGGGTCTTTATGTGAACATATGTTTTTATTTTCCTTGGATATATTCCTAGCAGTGTATAGTTTGGTTGTATGATAAGTTTTTGCTTAACTATTTTAGAAACTGCCAAATGGTTTTCCAGAACATTGGTAACATTTTAAAATTTATACTAGAAAATTTTGATACTAGAAATTTCATTCCTTGATGTCCTCATCAATACAACATTGTCTGTCTCTTTGATCATAGACATTCTAGAGTGTGTGTAGTGGCATTTTGTGGTTTTGTTTTGTATTTCTGAAATGACTAATAATGTTGAACTTGATTTTATGTGTTCATGCCTTGAAAATGATTTGTTGGGTGTGCAAAATTTATCTTTTTTTTTCAGTTTTTTGTTGCTATTTTAAATTGTATTTTTCAAACTTTTGTTTCCTACTCTGACATATAAAAATAAAATTCATTTTAGTATATTGATCTTATATTCATTCACTTTGGTGAACGCTTACTAAATTCTGTTTGTAGATTTGCTTGGATTTTAAATGCAGTTAATTATATTACATGCAAATAAGCACAGTTTTATTCCTTTTTCAATATTTTTCCCCCTTATTGGGATGTTGAGACCTCTATTTCTGGGCTGAATCACAGTGATGATAATAGATATCCTTATCAGGTAGGATGTTTATTATAAGTTATAGAATATTCCTTGAATCAAATTAAGCAAATTCCTATTGTATTTTGTGACAAGGTTATATCATGAATAACTTTATTTTACCTTATTAAATACTAAGTTACATTAGTAGATTTTCTCATGTTAAACATCTTTTCATTCTGGGCTAAACCAAACTTAGTCATGGCATATTAGTATTTGGATACTGCTAAATATTAGTTGTTTATATTTTAATTTAGAATATTTTTAGTATGAATGAAGATGGTCTGTCTTTTTTGTATGTTATTTTTTCTAAATAAATGACCTGTGACTGCAGTTTTTAAAAATTATTTTCTGGCCGAGCACGGTGGCTCACACCTGTAATCCCAGCACTTTGGGAGGCCAAGAAGGGTGGATCACGAGGTCAGGAGATGGAGACCATCCTGGTTAATGCGGTGAAACCCCATCTCTACTAAAAATAAAAAACAAAAACAAAATTAGCCAGGTGTGGTGGCAGGCACCTGTAGTCCCAGCTACTCAGGAGACTGAGGTGGGAGAATGTCGTGAACCTGGGAGGCAGAGCTTGCAGTGAGCCGAGACTGCACCACTGCAGTCCAGCCTGGGTGACAGAGCGAGACTCCATCTAAAAAAAAAAAAAGAAAATTTCCATTCTATTTGCAATTGTGGTAATAGCTTTTAAAAATGAATTTGGAACAATGCTATATCTCCTTTTAAAACGGGAATAGTTCAATCTTTAAATAAAAATTAAGTATTTCAACAAAAATTTTTGGGTCTAGTGCTTTTTAATTGGTGGTTATTTTTATTTATGTTTTGCTATTTCATAACATCAGCTTTTGGTTTTATTTATCTTTTCTGTGGATCATGTTTTTTAGTTCATCAATTTCAGATTTTGTGTTTAATAATTTCCTTCTCTTATATACTGTTTGCTGTTGTTTTGCCCACATTTGCTAGAAGATTTTTAAATTATTATTTTTTACAGAATTTATGAATTCCGGTTTTATCTTTAAAAACGTAGCTATGTTCTTAGTTGCTTTTTAAAGTAATTTTTATTTTTTAACTTTAATTTTAGGTTCAGGGCTGCATGTGCAGCCTGTTATATAGGTAAATTGCATGTTGTGGGGGTTTGGTGAGCAGATTATTTCATCTTCCAGGTAATAAGCATAGTACTTGATAGGTAGTTTTCAGATCCTCACCCTCCTCCAATCCACAAAACGTTTTTTAGCTATTCTTAATTTTAAAAAATTTTATTGAGAATGTGGCAAATAAAATCCCAAATTTTGTTAAGGCATTTTTGCCCTTTATGACACATTTGACAGTGTTTGGAGGCATTTTTGTTTGTCGCAACTGGGGAGTGGGACGTGGGTGCCATGGGCATCTCAGGGGTAGAGGCTAGGGATGCTGGTAAATATCCTGCAATGAAAAGGACAACCTTCCCAGAACAAAGACTTATGTGGCCAAAAATATCAACACTGTTGAGGTTGAGAAACCCTGATTTAGAGGCTTAATCAAATTTGTATTTGATTTTGGAGAAAATAATAATTGTAGATGGTTTGGTTTTCTTTGTCTAGAAGAGCCATATCATGTCTATTGGTGTCTCTTATGTTCTTGGCACACACTGATGCTCAATGTTTAGATTTTAATTGATGAAGATTGAAAAGATATAATATTCCACTGGGTACAGTGGCTCACACCTGTAATCCCAACACTTTGGGAGGCTGAGGCGGGTGAATCACCTGAGGTGGGGAGTTCGAGACCAGCCTGACCAACATGGAGAAACCCTGTCTCTACTAAGAATGTAAAATTAGCTGGGCGTGGTAGTGCATGCCTGTAATCCCAGCTACATGGGAGGCTGAGGCAGGAGAA